AGCATAATTTCCAGATTATACAATAAAAATAATTCGTCTTAATAATGTTGGTGAGTTTACATCTCAGGCCTTTACTGATTATTGTATATCAATTGGGATAACAATTGAGAATCCGGTTGCTCATGTTCATACACAAAATGGTCTAACGAAATCATTGATCAAACACTTTTAATTAATTTCTAGACCAATGCTTATGAGAACAAAACTCCACATTTCAGTATGGAGTCATGATATTTTGCATGCAGCAATACTTGTGCGGATAAGGCCCACAAGTTATAATAAAGTCTCTCCATTGCAATTGGCTTTTGGTCAGGAGCCAAATATTTTTCATATTAGAATCTTTGGTTATGCAGTATATGTTCCAATTTCTCCATCACAACGTACAAAGATGAGTCCCCAAAGAAGGTTGGGGATATATATTGGGTATGAATCTCCTTCTATTATAAAATATTTGGAGCCTATGAATGGAGATTTAATTACGACAAGATTTTTTGATTATCATTTTGATGAATCAATATACCCTACATTAAGGGAGAAAATAAGCAGCTGAGAAAGGAGATGGATTGGAATGTATTATTACTATCTCATTTATATTCTCGAACAAATCAATGTGAACAAGAGGTTCAAAAGATAATTCATTTGTAAAATATTACAAATCAACTGACAGATGCATTCACTGACCTACCAAGGGTGACTAAGTCAGATATTCCAACTGCTAATACTCCAATTCGAGTTGATATCCCGGTAGAACAATCAATTAAAGCAAATGAGTTTAAACCGCGCTTGAAACGTGGTAGACCAATTGATTCTAAGGATAAAAATCCTCGAAAAAAGAAAACGAGCAAATTATCAAAGTGATCATAATACGGAGGCAGTGGCTCAAGAAGAGCACAGAGACATAACAAATGATAAGACATCAAGGGAGGTTCAGGTACCTGAAAATAATAAGAATTGAGAGATCTCAATAAGTTATGTCTCAACGGAAAAAAGATGGAACCGAAATAATATTGTTATTGATAACGTTTTTTCTTATAATGTCGCTGTTGAAATAATGTAACAAGATGAGGATCTTGAACTAAAATATGTCGATGAATGTAGACAGAGAAATGATTGGCCAAAATGGAAAGACGCTATCCAGTCAGAAATAATTTCACTTGCGAAACGTGAAGTTTTTAGGTCTGTAGTCCAAACACCTAATGGTACTAAGCCTGTTGGCTATAAATGGGCCTTTGTACGTAAAAGGAATGAGAAAAATGAGGTACGTAAAAGTGCCTATAAGCNGCGTTTGGTAAAATTAAAAGTGCTTATAAGCCAAGTGCTTATAAGTTAAAAATAAGCCAAAAGCCATAAGCTGGTCACCCCCAGCTTATAAATTTTTAGCTTATAAGCACTTTAAGTTTGACCAAAATTTTTACTATTTTATTCTTAAATATTCTTTTTTAGAACAAAACTCTTGCATCAATACTCACTGCCTCAAGTACTATTTCAACCTAACCCCCTCCCTCCGCCTCTTCAAGTCTACAATGCTCATTAACTATTTAAGATAAGCAAATTCTCTATTCCTTTGCATATTTATATCTATGTGATTGTGTATTAATCTTTGAACTATATATAATAAATGAGAACATGTCAAATATTTTGTTATGTTGCTTTCTAAGTGTTGTGCTGATAAAGACAGTGTTTGTTTCTCTTCAAATATTTTGTCCTATTTAGGTTTATTTTTTACTGAAAAACTTTTATCAATTTATTAATTATTATAACTTATGATTATATGCTTATCATAAAATAAATTATATTTATCATAAAATTTATCTTATCTAAGCACAGTTGTATTTAAAATAAAATGACAAATAAAATATTTTGTATTTGGATCGATTTAGAATCTAAAATTTTGAAGATATTACGCCGTTATAGGTGTAAACACTTGTAAGGTTATTTAAGTCATTTTAACAGAAAAAAGCTTATCAGCACTTTTTTATCAAATACTGTAGCAGCTTATTATCAATTTCAGCACTTGTATCCAAGCGCGTAACTGCTTATTTATTAAATCAATTTCAGCACTTAAAAGTGCTTTTCAGCACCTAATGCTTATCAGCTACTTCAAATCAGCTAATCCAAACGGGCTCAAACTATGAAAGCAAAATACGATGCTTTGATGAGGAACCGAACTTGGGAATTGGTACGGAGGGATCCAATAAAAATATTGTGGACTGCAAGTGATTGTATCACATAAAGAGAAAAGCAGATGGCTCTATAGATCGCTACAAAGCTCGCCTGGTTGCAAAGGGGTTCACGCAACACCTTGGCTTGGATTTTCACGAAACCTGTAGTCTGGTTGTCAAACCAACAACGGTGCGGCTGGTGTTTTCCCTAGCCGTGCAACATAGTTGGCCAATTCATCAACTCGACGTCAACATTGCTTTCTTACCAGGCTAGTTGACTGAACAGATTTTTATGTCTCAACCTTAGGGATTTGTTGATTCCCAATTTTCTTCTCATATTTGCAGATTGAAGAAAGCTATTTATGGTCTTAAACAAGCCCATCAGATATGGTATACTGCATTGCATGATCATCTACAAAAAATGGGATTTATTAAGTCTGAATTTGACACCTCTTTATTTCTTTTAAACAACTTGGCTGCAGCAATTTATGTGCTTGTGCATGTTGATGATATCTTGGTCACGGGAAATCATCCCAGATTGATTAGTCATGTTATTGATTCTTTGGTTTCTCATTTTTTAAAAATATCTTGGTTATTTAAACTACATTTTGGGTGTAGAAGTCAAAAAGTGCCGGGGGGGTCTTATTCTTTCTCAATCTAAATATATTCTTGAGATTCTTTCTGAGTTGGATATGGATAATTGTAAAGGAGTCTCAACGCTAATGTGTTCCAATAAACTACCTCGGACAGATGATGGTTCTCCCACGATTAATGCCACACTCTACATGCACACATTTGTTAAATTACAGTATTTATCATTCACACGAGACATCTCTTATGATGTGAATAAATTATCACAGTTTATGCACAGCCCTACTGATGAACATTGGAAGGTTGTTAAAAGGATACTGCGGTATCTCAAAGCCAGAACAACGTAGGTCTTCGAATTCTTCGCAACTCGAACAACAATCTTTACATATATGCTGATGCATATTGGGTCGGCAACCCGAATGACTCGAATATCTACTTCGAGTTATGTTCTTTTCTTTGGGCCCAATCTAGTGAGATGGTCGTCTAAAAAATAATAGGCTATAACTCGCTTATCTACTGAAGCAGAGTACAAATTTATTGCAAAAATGTTGTTGCATAACTCAAGTGGGTGCGAAACTTGCTCGATGAATTGCGTGTCAACATTTCAGATACACCCGCAATTTTTGTGACAATGTTAGTGTCACTTATCTCTGTCATAATCCAGTGTTTCATAGCTGAATGAAGCATATAGATGTAGACTTCTCTTGTGTTCTGCACCAAGTTCAAGCGCATCAGATTCTTGTTAAACACACTAATGCTTGTGATCAACTTGCCGAAACCTTTACCAAGTCGTTACCAAAACCAACCTTTGCTAGGTGCCGTTCCAAGTTAGGCATTGTTGCACCACACTAACTTGAGGGGCGTATTAAGCATCCCTATCTTATCACTTATTCTTGTTACAGATTTTGATTAAATCTCATAGTGTTTAGGAGTATTTTTAGCAGTAGTTATTATTTTGAATAAGTCTTCCTCCTAATTGTTTGGGAGTATAACTAGCAATACGTTTTTTTTACTTCAGCTCTAGGTTGTTATTCTTTGGTGTGTTTAAAGCTTGGTTGCTGAAGGAGTAAGATCATCCTTTGACCACTTTCCTTATTATATTTTATACAAATTATCTGTTCATGGCAATTGAATATCAAATCATATTTGTGACAAGCATCAAATTGTTTGTCACGGCAATGTAAGTTCAAGATGAAAGCTCTTGTGCCCCTGAATCAAACTAAATCTTTCAAATTTGATATCATGTTTAAAGACCCTTCAATATAGTTTTAAAAAGAAGAATCAGAGGAATCTTTCTTGAAATATGAAACTCTCCAAATGTTATAACACTCGTTATTTCTTGAAATCAATAGTATATGTTGTTACTTTGTTTTGTCTTAATTTCTTAGGCATGAAACATAACAAGGTTTTCGTAATTAGAAAAGGAGAAGCATTCATGAAACAATAAGAAACATTATCCAAATTAAACTTTAAAGTTCATGTTCAATCAATCTGGGTGAAATTAAATAAGATGGGCTAATTAGAAAATCATGTTAACTTTAGGGATGGTCATTAAATTTTTTCTTTTTCTTGAATCATAGTTATTAAACTATTCTCTGTAACAAAAAATTCACTCAACTTTATTACATATTAAAAAAATTACTAAATTATTTTTTGTAATAACAAAAATACTCAATTTTGCTTAAATATCACTAGAAGGAAACAATTAAACAAATAAGATATTTTCTTTGATACTCGAGCAAAGTTGAAGGACTCTTGATTACAAAAAATGGTTCGGTAACTTTTAATAGTTAGATAAAATTAAGTAACTTTTTCATAACAAAACAAAATTTAATGACTTTGATGAGAAAAATAAAAACTGAACGACTATTCATTAAATTATCCTTATATTCGCAGAAATTATCCTTATGTCAAATAACAGTAACAATTTGGCCTCAGGTTTTGTTTCCCGCCTAAACTAGAAATATTGAATTTACTGGTTGCCAAATTCAAATTATTCTTACATGCCTAGCAGAACCTTAATGGTTTAATCTACCGTTCATTCATCCTTCCATCAACGGCTAATATTCACAATCCGCGCTAACTACTTAAAACCAATAACATACGCCCACGTGTAACCTGAACACTCATACCAACAAATCTTAAACGTCCTTTCTACATTAAATCAACGGCCCAAATTCACAATCCGCGTCACTCCAAACCAACCAATCATATCTTACACCCCCAAAACTCTATATAAATCTCACCCCCTCTTCTCCTTTATCACACAACAATTCTTCAGTTCACAAACTTTAGATCTTCTTTCTCTCTACTACAAAACCTAGTTTTCGATTCCAAAGTACAGTTTCAATGGCACCAAAAGCAGAGAAAAAGCCAGCGGAGAAGAAGCCAGTTGCAACAGAGGAGAAAAAGGCCGAAAAAGCTCCAGCTGAAAAGAAGCCAAAGGCAGGAAAGAAGCTTCCAAAGGAAGCAGGCGCATCTGGTGCTGACAAGAAGAAGAAGAGATCAAAGAAGAGTGTAGAAACTTACAAGATCTACATTTTCAAGGTGCTGAAACAAGTTCATCCTGATATTGGAATTTCAAGTAAGGCTATGGGAATAATGAACAGTTTCATAAATGATATATTTGAGAAACTTGCTCAGGAATCTTCTAGATTGGCTAGGTATAATAAGAAGCCTACTATTACTTCTAGGGAAATTCAGACTGCTGTTAGGCTTGTTTTGCCTGGTGAGTTGGCTAAACATGCTGTTTCTGAAGGTACTAAGGCTGTTACCAAGTTTACTAGTTCTTAGATTTGGGATTTTGGGGGGTTTTTATGGAATGTAAAGGTTGGGTACTTGGGGCTGAAAAATGTTAGGTTTCTAAGTTTTTGCTTGTTCAATGATGTATTGAATATGAATATGAATGAACTGTTTTTGATTATTGTCCTGCTTTCGTAAGTTGGCCATAGCCAATTTCACATCTTGAATTATTACGAGACTACCATATGCAGATTTCTCAAATTCCAGTCTTATTTACATGAATAGGAACAGTACCCTCTGCAATATTCAATTTTTATCTGCATTTCTATTTCTTAGAGTGTAAAACAGAGTTTATCAACACTTAATTATAGTCAATTTCTTCATCTACATAATCAACACAGACAATTCTTATGCATTTTGTGGATGATGTATTCCAACCAAGCACTTAAAGTTGCAAAAGAACACCACTATTACACAAATAATAAATATTTGCAACCTCTTGAATGTGCAGTTAGCGTTTCTGCAAGATTAACACTAGAGTGTATGCTGCTTGAATGTGTCAAGCATCTGTAAACAAAATGAAGCACAAGCTCGTAGTCAAGTAAAATGTGCGTCAATTCTGTAAGAAATAGTTTACATACATTCTAACTCTTACGCCATATGGTCTTAACAATTCCTAAAACAACGGAATTCGTAATACAAAATATTTTGGAGAACGCTTATTTAAAACAATATCTACTCTCATATATGAAACCTAGTAGCATTGTCTAATTAGATTCATGCCGAGTAAATTACCTAGCAAGAAGTTCTCTATTCTCATTTTGGTTTTTTTAAGATGTAAAATTGAGAACTTTCTACTAATTTAAAAGGATATAAGTTATGTACACTGATTATATGAAAACGTTTTTATGCGATTAATGTACTTTAACGTGTGATATATAGTTGGTGAGTTACAATTTTTATTGAATTATTAATTCATGCTTAATTGAGATTTATTTATAATTACATTAAGTTATACTTCTTCAGTTTCAATTTGTTTGAACATATTTGATTGGTCATGGAGTTCAAGAAAAAAGAGAGAACTTTTCAAAATTATGGTTTAAAATAATACTCCTTTCGTTTCAATTTATGTGAAGATATTTTCTTTTTATTCCGTATAAAAAAAATTGACTCTTTTCCATATTTGAAAATAATTAACTTTATGGTAATGATTTATAACTATACAAAATATATGTATCTCAATTTAACTATCAAGTTCAAAAGTCTTTTTTTTGTTAAACTCCATACCCAGTCAAATCGGTTTACCTAAATTGAAACGGAGGAAATATATAGATATTTGTGTGACTATAAATCATCTCATTTAGAGTAGGGCTATCTAATTGACAAGATACTCGCCTTTGCCAACTGATGTGTTTGCAAAAATAATTAGCGGGGAATGAGTCGCTAGCTGAGTGAGTGATAATACTTAACCACAACCGTTTTAATGGGGGACAAGTCATAAAACATGCTAGTATATTAAATACAAAAAAATCAAAAGACTTCACTTTCAGAAACAACAAACAATAATTAGTCTTGTCATGTGTGTCATATAATATAAATCAATAAATAATTCGGTAATAAGTTATGTAGATACTGTATATTATCAATTATTCATGTTTGGGAGGTCTCAATGAACAAATCATGTAATCGGAATAACTGTGGACCTCTTCGCAAGAAGTCAAATATAACAGTAGCCCTTACTCGAGGAAAATTAGTAACGTTATGCTAGTTTTACCTTCCCACTAGTGAGGATTGTAACGGTAGTCGGTAATTACAAGGTGCACCAGGTTCAACGAACCTGTAGTTAGCTGTGGGATCTTTCAAAGTTTCCTCATATTTATACTTGTCTTTATAATCAATAAATACTCGTTTCAAAGTATTTTTAAAACCGTATGACATTTCAGTTCTTATCAATTCATGAAATTTCATTTCGATAACAATAAATTTATCTCAAATAACTGTAAAACGTATCCAGTAATAGTGAGAACATTCAAAATAACAGTAATCATCTCAAATAAATATTTCAGTGTCATACTAAGTAAAGGACATGTCCCACGTACAAATTTTAAAATTCGGTAACATATTCATATTATAAATTATGTGTAAATCACGTAATTATGAAAACATAAATTACGATAAGGTTACTACTCACAGTACTCGTGTCGAAATATCAAACTCGTTACCTTGAGCAATTCGTATGACTTCCTTCAATCAATTTATAATCACATTATATCGACATCATGCTAATTTTTTTTGTTTAGGTCATCCATAATTAATTTAGGATATTCAGCCCTCGAGATTTAATGTTTGACTTTCAATTCATTAAATAATTTTTTTACCCAGGCTACGAGTAATTCAACTAGTTCATTATCTATCACAAAATCGCTTTTCTAATCTCAAACTTTTCTTCAACTTTTTTTCTAAGTATATTGAGAACTCACAAGAAATAGTAAAGAATAGTTTATATCCCATATCCTCTTGATGGTTTTACAGAAGCACAATAGATTATGTTAGCATTCGGACTATATATTCAAATTATTAAAAATATAAATCTAATATGATTCGCCTTGTTTGCTGCTTAGTCTATTTCAAATTAAAGATTCCAATTATTCATAGGTATTCTCATATCTAAATCAATTGAAACAAATCACGTTTGGGTTACTAATGTTACTGCCTAACTCAACCCATGAAAATTTATATCTACTAATGTCAATTGAATAAATTATCCTGAAATCTAGACAATTTGTGGCTGGGAATGACTTTTTATGCGACGCCAAACCTTCGGCCTAACTCTTCATTCTCTATTTTGCTTTTGACTTTACCAAGTCTATGAAATCATTTAGTTCCATTTGGCCGTAGGTTTTGTCTTTATTTTTTAATTTTTTTAAAATATTATTTGTTTATGAAATATGATCATATTATGAAAAAAAAAATTCAAAAATTTTTAAGTTTCCAAAAATAGATTTTGGACAGTTTTTGAGTGATTTTTTTCTTCCACTCACAAGACTTCAACTTTTCTTGAAATAAAATGCATGTCCAAACACAACTTCAACTTTCAAAAATTATTTTTCAATACAATTTCAAAAACTCTTTTTTCAAATTTCAATCAATGTCCAAACGCTAGCTCAGTTTCTATTCTGCCGAAACTAAATCCTTCATGCCCTTCCCCTAACAGCTTGTTTGGATGGTTGTTTCATGTCGTTTCATAATGTATCGTATTGTATTGTACGTATCGTATTATATTGTTTGATGAATACAATATTTGGATAGATTGTATCGTTTGCTGTCATTTCATGATGTCACGCATAAAAAATATGAAGAATAAAACTTGTAATATTACTAAGAAAAAATAGGATACGAAGTAGAATCATTATATAAAAAAGTAAGGTAAAGGATAAAATATGTTTATTTAATAATAAAGAATGGTAAAATGAGAGAAAAAAATAGGGGATCTTTACACAAATAGTCGGTCATGTTTATTGTTTACTTTTTCTAGTCATATGCATAGATTATACATTCATTATACATTATTATACACATATAATATATAAATTATGCATACACTATACCTCCACCGGCTATTTTTAGTTTAAACGGTTAAGTGGACGGTTATTTAGGTTAATTCTTCAAAAAAATAAGGTAACGACGCCACCACACCAAATCCGTCGTTACATAAAGTGACACTTTTCGTCGTTATTTAACGACGGATTTAATGATACGATACAATAAAATTTAAGTAACAATCAAAACAAATATTGTATTTAAAGTAACAATACGATACAATACAATAGGTAACAACCATCCAAACAAGCTGTAAATCCTTCACGTAATTCTCAGTTTAATGGGATTTAGCCCAAATTTCCTTTTTTTGTTTGTTTGACATTTTTTTTTTTGTGTGGCTAAAGACTTATATAACCTTATTTAAATATAGGAGATTATAGCACTAGAACTAGCATTACTATTAGTCAATTTTTTAAACACATTTTAATTAGTTTATGAGCCATTTCTAAAAATAAATAATTAAAATAAAAATAAATAGCAACACAAGTATAAAAAAAATAAATGCGAAAAATAATAGAACGAATGTATCAAACGCCAACGTAAACGCCGATGTTGATAGAAAAAAATTATTTCAACTAGTAGCGTAGTGCCAAGAAAAACTACGCCACTGAATACTTGATGTTAGTGCTTGAAAAATTATACCAAAATAATTGAGTGCTAGAACGTTAATTGCATTTAGAGATAGAGAGATATAGAGAATTAGAGAGATATGAGTGTTTTGTGTGAATATTAAAAGAACGAAATATGGTATTTATAATTTTAAAATAGGACCAAAGTATATTTGAAAACACTTAGGGGTTAAAAACATAAATTAGGGGGTAAGTGGGTGTTAGGGAGGCAAAAATACCATTTTTGGCCGTTGCTAACGACTATTATTTTTTCAAAAAATAACTGTTGACTAATGGTACAAAAATGGCTAAATTAAAAAAAAAAAACATTAAGGGTAGCGGTTCGGTACCGGACGGCTACCGTTAGGTACCTTAAGGGTACCAACCGGACCAGTTCTTCCGGTACCGTCCCAGTCTCCGTTCACCTTATCCAAATCCTTTCCCCTACTATAACGACCCGACCGATCGTTTTGAGAGTAATAGCCCTGATCCCCTATTTACTGCTTTCCCCGTATCTGTTTCAGCTTATGTGACTTGCCGGGAGGTTTTATTTTAGTTTTTGGGGTATTTTGGGACACTTAGTCCCTAAATGAAAGTTTAAGTCTTAGAATTTTTGTCCGTAGTCGGAACTATGTGAAGACGACTCCGAAATGGAGTTTCTCTGTTCTGTTAGCTCCGTTGGGTGATTTTGAACTTAGAGCAGTGTCCGGATTGTGATTTGGAGGTCTTTAGCTCATTTAGGCTTGAAATGACGAAAGTCGAATTTTTGGAGATTTTGACCGATAGTGAACTTTTTGATATCGGAGTCGGCATTCGACTCCGGAAGTTGGAGTAGGTCCGTAATATTGAATATGACTTGTGTGCACAATTTGGGGTCAATCGGACGTGGTTTGATAGGTTTCGGCATCGGTTGTAGAAATTTGAACTTTCAAGTTTAATAAGTTTGAATTGGAGTGTGATTCGTATTTTTAGCA